CTGACAAACGGAAATAGAGAACCAAGCAAGGTTAGAGGCAATTCCTCGAAAGACGAGTTGCCATTGTCATAGATTGCAACTGATAGTGGGCGGGATCCCGAGCGTAAAAGATGGAGACCAATGAAACGCAGGTATCGATATTGGCCTTCTGCAAAAAGTTCGTCTGTTACAGTGATGTTTATGAATGCCCAAAGCTCCGGGAAAAGAAGAGCAGTCTCTCGCCAGTGTCTCGATACGGAAGCGATGGACCATAGCGAATTCTCAAATGGGCGCTCCAGATCGAAACCATCCCAGTCGAGGCCAGGTGAGTAGACGGTCTTCCAGGGAAACTCGATAGTCTCGTGAAAGATAAGCGCCAAAACCTCTACCGGCAGGCGGCGTACAGGGCTAAGCAAAGCCTTCCTGTATCGAACACCTTCGTTCAGGACTCTGCGTTTATGGCGAAGGATAGATGCCTGGTTTGCCAGATGTTCCGCATCTTTGAGTAGTTCCTTCCTCAGCACACGCATTTCCTCGATTTCTTTGCTGATAGCGGCAATGGATTCTTCTGAGGCGAGTATCATAGATCGCAGGGTCTCTGTTTCGCCAGGAAGAGGAGGGTCGTTGGAACGCTCGAGATGGCTGAAATCGGGTATGGAATCAGCTGGACTAGCACCGTCCTTGGATACATGGATGGGAATGTGATGGTTGGGACATGCGCAGCCTGAACAAGACGACCATGTATATCGTTGCAGAGGTCCTTCCACAGGCATATCTGTGTAAAGGTGAGTAGTTATAAAGTATTTCGTTTCCTGAATGCGATACCTATTCAATCGAAGAGGGATTATCGGCCCTAGTAGCGAATAGATCCTGCTGGCGTTGCCTACTAGCCCTTAAGATATCAAGGCAGGACACTGGCCTTGCGGTTGACTGATGAAGGTAGGAGTCGAAGAAATGGATGGCCCTCAGGTCACGCTTCGCGCGACGTGAAGTTCCCACGATGCTAACATCACCGCGATCAACGAGCACTACAAGGCGCGGCCACTGCCCAGCCCTTTGGTAGGCTCTAAGCTCCAAGATACCAGCCAACCTGGTACTGAAAAGGTGACCAGCTATATTCCGTTCTTCATCCCCTCAAACGGAACCACACGACCTCGTTACACTGGTTCGAGTCTAGCCCTTTCGTTTCTTTATAGCGGATATAATTATCTAGTTTGCGCCCGTGCGAGGTACCATTAAGGGCACAAGTTATCCTTGCGCCCATCTATGACTGTACGTTCTTTAGTTGTTTCAGACCAGTATTTCTGATAATTCGCGCCCCTAGAGCAGTGTGCACTTTTCAACTGTTCTTTTGTCTTTTAGTAGCAATCATAACATGCGACTTGGAGAAGACTGTAGTACTCCGCCGAATGGATCAGCGACGAACCTAAAGAGCTGTAGTCTTGCAGGTGTCACCGCACACTAAGTCGGAGTTGCGCTCTTGCGAATGAGAATCTCAACAATTGAATTGTAAATGTAAGTTCTTACCCTCGCTATGACAAAAGAAGGTCATGAACTTCTATTCATCCCATGAATCAGACTTGCGCTCATCCAGGAGTTTCCGGCGCTGCCGTTAAGGCCAGACAATTGGCGTCTATTCAGCTCAGTCCACCCCTCCGACCGTACCTGCCAGCGCCTAGACAGCGTACGTGGCTGTATGTTTCGGCGTCGGTTTATCCATGACAGCAAACCCAAAGCCTTCGCCTACTCATCAAATAGATCTACAATTCAACCATATCAATTGATGTTTCAGGCTTTTGTCGTCTACCCTGATGGCAATAGAAAGACCATCAAACCCGATGTGATGCGTTCGCCGTTCGATATACGTCGCAGGGATTTGTGTTGCCTTACAGATTGTTGATCTCTGTCGCCGAGAACCGCGTAGAAAGGTTACAGGCAACAAAGGCCAAGCGTCTCAGCTCCATGTTTAATAGGTCGATCCGTTTTATAAATTGATTGTTACTTCCCTCTTCAGTGTTCCAGCGACTAAGGAAGTACTGAGTGGCTTTAATACGCACCCATTCCCTTCCAAAAATCTCTTGTCTTTCCATCCACCCTACCATGCTTATCCCATACCTTTTTGCGTTGACTACCCTAGTTCTGTGTGCAGATGCCCGTCAGCCTGCGGAGTTATTCGATGCCTTCGAGGATTTTATTGCTGGGTATGTGGCTTCACGATTGAGAGTCTCAGCGGTTTAATGTAATATCCAGGCTACTCCAGCCTTGGTCCGTAGCAGTTTCAGGAAAGAGTTCAGCGCTGTCGTCAGACGTCATTGGTCGAGTCAATATGATGGTGAGTATGTGTTTTTACGGTCGCCAGTCCGTCCCCTAATTTCATACATTTTACAGCGTTGAACGGCATCGAGAACAATACTGGTAGGTACTAATTCATAATCTAATGCCTCCGTTTGACACGAATTGTCTTGCAGAATTTCTATATGGCGTACCTGCGAAAGTCATGCAAGCGAACACCACTCAGATAATAGGCTACCCCACAAACGCCTCCGTCGAGTCCTTATCAATACAGCATTCTGTTGTATCCGCCAGCGTCGTTTTTTCGATGTATCATGCGACAATGTCGCTCACGACACCGCTACAAGTCGACTTATGGCTCTACTTTGACGATGACTTGCTGATATCGGCTTATGATCTTTCAATTCGGAACATCCCCAAGGCCTTTTCATATCTAGCATCCGTTCTTTCTGAGCAGATCTCTCATGAAATGTCTGTCGGTAATGCTACCGACGCGGCAAGTTCAAGAATGGCTGCGGATATCTGCACGGCTGCCACTGAGTACTGCACTGGTGGGAATCAACAATACGATTCGTGAGTATTTCTGATAGCTTTCTTGATATTCAATTCACCGCTCTTATCCTAGGTACGATTCCTGCTTCGAGACTCTTTCACGAAACGTAACGATGGACAGCCTCGACCAATCCTTTTGCCGGTTAGTGAGCATTTTGGCTGAGGGAAGACTGCTGTTGAAACAACGTTAGTTATTTTGTCAAGGATATGGTCCAATCTCGACCCAGTATTCATTGCCCTAGCCTTGGTCCTTCCGGGGGAGATACGTGCTGTAAGTTAGCCCCGCTGCTTTTCCTAGATGAATTGAATGATTGTTTGGATCTAGTCAACGCTAATTATGCCGAGGAAACCACTACATATCCGTTTTCTTCGAGCTTTGTAGCAGCCAATGTTTCCAGTGGTGGGACCGAAGGGCTGTCTGATGGCACCATAGTCGAGCTTATGAGATTTGATATGCAAGTCATATATCCCACCACCGTCGCATTTGTGCGTGATTCTTCCGACTTTACCCACACATACCTTACCCTGTCTTCTGGGGTCCTAGTATTCGATTTCAGCGTTCCTTTACCTGCTCCTTCTATATGTCAACGGAAAAGGAGTGGATTTCCTTCTTGTCCGCTTTTCCAAAGACTACCCTGCTTTGTCGTTTAGCAATAAGCGGAACGTCGTTACCTGTGGGTACTAAAGTATATGGGCGCGGCATTGCCCTGATCTTCTCATCTTTGGTTAGATTGTCTCAACACCTTTTGGACGACGGTCGCGTTTATCCTGCAGATCGTAGCATCGCCCATGTTAGGTGGATACTACACATGGGATCGCATAGGCGAGGCTCGTATGGCTGCCGTCATCATTTCTGGCTTGTGTGAGTCCCCGAGAGTCCATCTTAATTTTGATATAATTATTCATTTGAGCAGACATATGAAATGGTGTTCCGTCCGAGCATGCGATGGACTTTGCTTGTTCATCATTTTTGCGTGTGTTTCTAGGTTTCCCCCTGCTTCCGAGATATCCTCTGAATTTTCTTCTTGTACATCTAGACTTTGTTTGCAACCATATTCATCCAGATAGCCCTTCAGATAGCGCTCCGCCCGGCTATAGCATCTGCTGGACTCATCTGGCTGTTCCAGGCTACAACTGAGCAGTCCGTGTTCATCGGTCTCATACTTTATCGTCTACGATTTCCGAAGCATATTGTGGCGCCTGTCTTGAAGTTTGCTGCGGTACAATCGTTGTAAGTAAATGCCCTTCTAGAGCTACGATGTTTAGGCTAAAGAAGTATCAAAGTATCTGTAAGATCGCATCAGCAATCTACTTACTTGTCTGGTGGGGCATCAAGCTCGCTAAATTCCACCGCCAAATCGATGTCGCCTTCAGCGTCATGCTGGTTCTACTTATTTCAGTTCTCATGGCTACTCAAATGCACGTTCCGAGCCCTATTTACATGACAACCACGCTGATATTTCTTCTGATATAGACAAGGATCGTACGCCGTGCGGTGTATCGCGAAGAATATGCACGGGCAGTTTCCAAAGCCTGCGGCCGTCTCAGGTCCTTCTCACTGGGTCAACGATTCTTTCTATCGTGAAGGCAGGGTTCTTGGGTGCCAGGCCTCCGAAACAACCCTTAGACCCATAGTACTGAGTAAAGTGCTTTATCAAGATAAGGTGGAGACTTCATGAAACAATAGAATGCTGGTTTACCAGTACGTTGCAAACTATCAATCGAGGATTGACCAAAAGTCGGTACATTGAATTGGCGTGTGGTTAGTAGCCGCATCCAAACTTACGGTTTATCTGTAGTAGTAGCTAGACTCAGTCGGACCCCAAAATTTCCTCATTCTCTAGTTCGCTCTTCGGCTAAAATCGAGCACCTTCCTTGTCGTCTACCTTACAACTATCAGTAATGATAGAATACTCACTGTAGAACATACTAGTTATCATGCTTTGATGCTGTACCTTATTCCTTCTTGGAGCCTTTCTCTTAGCTTCGCCATCATGACATGCCATAAAATACCTTTCATCCGTACATTATCTACACATGCTAAGCTAATCATCTACCTCTCGTTCCGCTTGCTACCTCCAATTTAGCATAGTATTCCAGAGTTATCAATAAATAGTTAAAGACAGCTGCAAGGCCTCCTAGAGCTTCAAAAACTCTAAAGTGCAAATCACTCAAGCGACTCCTTAGCTCAGTGGTAGAGCGTGTGATTCCAGCTTTGTGCTTTGGATTCCACAAGGTCGTGCGTTCAATCCGCCCAGGAGTCATCCCCATTTCTTGGCTCCAGTATTTTGTTTTTGCGGCTCGGTGACAGCTGTCCTAGGTTTCAACTTTCAACTTTTGTGTTACCAACGACCAACTTCGTCCAAGTTTCTTTATGAGGAAACTCAGGACTCCGAGTCAGGAGAGTCGAAACTATCAAGTATTTCTACCCCAAAGGAAGATTTATCACAATAAGTTTGCTCGGTGCTTGCCACGTTTCAAGAGTCCCAAAATAAAAGCTCCTCCTCCTCCCAGGGTAGTAGAATATATGTTTGATATTTTGTGGTCTATAATACTGAGAGTCTACTACAAAGACAGTAAACACGCTGTACAGTGTATATTCAGGAATGTACACACACACTCTGAGTCTCACTTCTTCTGCCGGCACTGAACTTCCCTGATTACAGCAGAAGATGGGAGGGAGTGTAAACTGAAAGGTGGCCCGAGCTTGGGATGCTATTACCCTTGTTTGAGGACATAAGCCACAAAGTGTTGGTGCCGTCGGCATACAATGCTACTTGGCCACTTGACAGTGGAGCAAGCGAAAAATGGATCGAGATTCAAACATTTTGGGTCATACGGGCCACATCGTACGGCGGCACTCGTTTGCGACTACAATAGAGCTGTCCCAATGCGCGATTCAAATCACGATGACCGGATCTCGCCATGATAGCAGTGACGATAGACGGAATGGCACTGCAGTAGGATAGATACCGAAGGTGTCACTTGAGTCACCGTGAATGAAGCCTGCACGATCTGTCAGTGGTGGGAACCAAGAGAAGGAGATATACTCACCTTCGATGTCACGAAGTTCGAACGGAGGTGAAGGCCAGAATAGCCGTTTCTTCGATGCCGTCCGCAGAGGACTCCAGAAGGGTTTTTTAAGATAGTAGTTCACGGTTATGGGGTTTGTACTGGAGCGCAATAACGAAGATAGGTAAAGAAGCGTGATCACCATAAAGAGTTCCGGCTACGGTCCCAGATCCATGTAGTTGAGGGGGAAGTCGTAGCGACTGCCAACTCACGATGGAGTACATGGAGTACTTCCAAGATCGCCGGCTCAAGGCTGTATGGTCTGTCTCCGCAGAGATCATCGAAAAACTCGTTACCTCAACTCTCTAGGAGCAGAGGTGAGCGCAGTAGCTATAGAAAGCGATACACTGACTCGGTACAATTCGGCCGACAATGAGCTTTCAGGAAACAGATACGACGACTACGAGGATATGATTGTGACTAAGTGATCAGGTTCGGTACATTATAGTCTATCAGAATCTGTAAGAGCACCTTAAAGACGAACGAAGTTGAACGGCGTACCATATTGTACTCTGAATCACTGCTATCTATTTATTATCTACAGGATAGGCGGTTACCGGATCTGTACCCCAACCCCAATTCTGAACATTGTCACCGCCATGGAAATCAAGTGGAAGCGTCCGCGAGAAATTTTCTTCATCGCTTCGGATTTTGGTATCCATAGAGTTGTACCTCATGACTCAGAGACGTAAACGACGGATGAAACACGAATAAAGATTCCCGCCGTCTGCTCCGGATGTTTGAAGTGAGGCTGGCGGCACGGAACCGCCACCGCCACCAGCTTAAGAGTTTTCTTCCAAGTATGAAGGCGGCCGCAAGAAAGGATATAAGGATTGAAAAAGTAAAACAGTCGGCAAGCGGTACTACTTGCAATTGGGCGTCGTCAGGAGGGTTTTCGTTAGAGTCAGCGAGTTTCCGAGGATTTTGCGATATTCGAGCGAGCCTCGTATGAGTTTTTCACTAATATGTCGTGTTCGTTATCAGACGAGACAACCACAAAGACGGTGAACGACGGTCACAGCTTCACAGCAACTGCCAGCGGCGTGGGAGTTTCAGCGTCAGCCGGTCCGAGTCTGCCGCGATCATACCAACCACATCATGATCTTCAACGGCGAATGCTTCATGCGCATACATGACGGTCTACGCTCGTTTTCTTATCTGTGCGCTCCATGGTCATAAAATTCGACTATTAGCCTGTGGGTCGTCATGCTCCTTGCCTCCCTATGCGAGATCAGACTTATTCCGAGCCACGGAGATGCAGTGATCCTCCAAGTACAGGATTGCTATAACCGAAATCTCTATCTTCCAGCACGAGAGAACAAGAGACAACTTCGATTCCGAGAGGAAGCAATTTCTCTTCCAAATTGATATTCTAACAGCCAAATACTCTCTTACCAATCTGACGTAGAGCGCCTTTAGAGACCACTTCACAGACACTTTCTATGCTTGATTTAGCACTTTTGATCCTTCGGTCGTCAATCCCGGATTTCCCAAGTACGTGAGTTATATGTATCGTGTAGCTCCATCTAAACATAGCGCAGCCATTTTTACATACGGAGTATCTATGGATACGGAAATATCAAATGTTTCAGCTGTTCACTATACGAGCATCATGCTTCAGACGATCCATACCGTACGCGTCTCTGGTCGCTTAATTATAGTGGCTTTATGCCGCTCGTGGGCGCGCGACGCGTCGTGATCACGTGTGAACACAACCACCTAACTCAACTGTCAGTGGCACCATTGTCAGTCTCCTGAATTTCGAAGAGTGACTACTACACTAACCGATCTCGTTATCGCACCTGTCTCCTGAACCTTACTCATCATCATATTCACTTTTCCACCTTGAAATGGATAAGCACCTATAAGCGCTTGGCACGGTACTGGTGAGAAGTTCTCGAATTGCAATTCCTTAATAGCCACTGATTAACCAGTCCTTTCTTGTATTTTCTACTTTAGCCGGTAGCTTTGCTTCTTATGTTACTTACATGTAACCTTCATGTAACTCTATTGCGATCGATCGCTGCTCGTGGTACGGAAGGGTGGTGTTAGGGTGAGTCCGTTCGTACTACCCCGGCGATCAATGCTATTTTTCCTCGACCTAAGTCCGCGTGTACGCTTTGAGACCCGCTGAAGGACTTGCTGATACTCTGTTCTCATAGCAACAAGCACGTCTTACGATTGTAAAAAAAAGAGGAGAGAAAACCATCTTCGGACTGCTGATGTGCGGCTGATAGAAGCTGATATCTAGTAAGCTCCACAATTCAACACTTCTACTGCGCATCAGGTCATCAGAAGGTATGTAGGTCACTGATACCTTGGTCGAGTATTGGCTGATTGTGATATTTGTCCAGACCTTCCGGCGTTCAGTCGAAGGATCTCCTGACGCAGGTCCTGGGCGGGGCCCGTGAACATACGGCATATGACTCGTCTAGTCATGCCAATTACATAGAAAGGTTCAGGCGAATATGCCCCTCAGGCTGTGAGGACTTTCGTCGGTGTTTCGGTGCGCAGCCGACATCTCAGAGGAAGGCGCCAGGTACAGGAACTACATCAACAAAATTGAAGTGCCCAGTCCTTGGCGGCAAGTCATCAATCAATTTCTAGGGATGCATTGCCATTTGCAAGGGTCAGCAAAGTTGCTGGAAAACTCGGCCTGGATGACCTTGCATGGGACGATTGTTCTCTCCAACATCCGACCATCCTCACCGACGCGGGGCCGGTTTTCAAGATTCTCCGACGTACAGAGTCTTGATAAAACAGTTGCAGAGATGGCCATAGAACGGTGGTCTTTTTTGACGAGTGCATATCTGTTGCGTTAGCCAATGACGGAGTCCTGACAGACATTTACAAGTGTTATGCAGATGATTACGCACCAAGCTGAACGTTAAACGCACGTCGCTGCCTCTCCCCAGAGACGGTTCCTTGTTCCTCTGCCATCTACTTGCGATGATTGATATGACTCGCTGTTCTCGGGCAGGGGTATTATTGGCCCGTTTGCTCCTGCTTGCGTGATACTAGTTTTTCTGTCTTACGGCTCCCTTTTACCTCTCCTTGCCGCTTATGCTCTTCTGGTCCGGCCTACATCCCTCAACTTTCCCCCATTTCTACACAGGTCCCAGAGGTTTAGTTTCGAAATTTTAATCTGATTCTGAAGTACCATAGTTTTCACGCACAGCTTCCCGGGTATTCTCTGTGTTGAAACAGCTGGAATCGTTTGGCTATGCTCGAAACTCTCATGTATTAGCGCATTTCGTTGGAACAAAATCACAGATCAAGTAACTCGTTGCTTATCGTATACTTCCGGCATACCTTTCTCGGTGGAGGATCCAGCAAAGTGCTCTGTTACGATCGTAAGTATTGTGCAATTTATAACGGCCATCCGATATTAATGAAAACTTGATTTTCTCATTAGCGCTACATATCTGATTGTTGCCGACTAGGGCAAAATACCCCGACCGAACATTCGTCTTATCGCACCACTCAGAGAGATCTATTTGACGGATCAGTACTCGTTCTCTTCTTGGAGAAAGAAACGCGGCGCAGATGTTCCTGCACAGCTATGCACTATCGAAAAGATCCGTAGAAACTGGGATCGCCTTCCCGTTGAGCCCGGGTTGGCCACGACGTTTCTAAGCGCGCAGATCGTGGCTTGGCGCCTATGATGGATCCCTAAAACATGGAGAATGGTTGGGGAAATCCCGCAGAGCCCCATGTCAATAGTGACACCGTTTATCTTGATGTGACCTAGGTAATGAAGTCATTTAATAGATCGACTACGAGCTGCGTTTTCCGAGACTCTCTACTGAGAAAAAGTGTTCGCAATGGCTATGTTACGTGTGAGCCTGACTGAAGAATAATACTGCCGACAGAGCGTGTTATCTTGGCCATACAACATTCTACAGTCCGACGCTCAGGAGGCATTTCCTGTGTCAAAAGATCGGGAAAGCTGCCACGGCTGGCGATGCCTGGGAACACTATGGAAGGGGGGACAGCCAGGGTAAAGTACGCCTTTTTTCCCGAGAGGACTTTAATGAGGCCTTGTGAGGCTACAGAGCGGCTGTGACAACGCGAGAAGGATGTGGCGGCGAGAAAATTCACCATAAAAGGATGAATGTTCCTGTGGCGTGACGACGTGACAGGCACAAACAGAGGTAAATGTGCCTGGATGCGAGCGTTGCTCATTGAATCA